ATCTAGATTCAGATATTTTGCACCCGAATGGTCGGAAGCGCCGACCGACGCCAGTGATTCAACAGTGTTGACACATTTTGCCAGTCCAGAGCAGGTCTTACTGTGGCTCAAAGAAAGACAATCAGATGCAATCAACAATCTACTGCGACTACGGAGTTCACCGCATCTGCCGTTCATCACGCAAAATGTGTACTAAAAAACCGGAAAGCTCTTACGGATACGAGATTCGTGATGATCGTCGCGACTAAAAGGAGTAAAGAGGTGGGTCATGGGATATAGTACACAAAACCGAGATTAGAGGGAATACAGTATGCATTGCCTTGCCCCTTAAGGGGAGAATTCGATGTCGTTAGTAAGACCATCTATGCAATAAAGCTCAATGATTTTGTTATCGTCCAAACCATTTATGTGCTTACTACTGAAGGAAAAATGCCCGATTCCGTCATCTCATTTTAGTGTATACTCATCTACGTGTTCCAATGGAGCAAAGTACATAGATTGTATAGTCAGGCGCATGTCCGAACGGATCAGTGAACACTACCCCGCATCGCTGAACATTAGAGCGATTAGGTCATGCACTAGTGCAGAGGTTTCACACCCCATGAACGTGACCGAGTCATTTCGACTCCTCTATAAGGTTTGCGGCAAATTATCAAGATACGTTCGCCATCATATGCTGGTCACGGCAGAAGCGCTCCCTTTATGTGTCCAAAAACAACTTGTACAGGCACCCGTCCTGCGTACCCGAACAGTATTGAAGATCGGGTGAATTAAAAGAATATTGTAATAACTGCGAATTCCATGCGCGATCCTCATCCGGTCGAGATGAGCTGTTTTCATCGGTCTTTAAAGAAGGAGGATCAGCGTTAGTTTTGGAGCTGGCAAAAGACCTCCAAATGAATGGTGTGCATCGGTCATCATGTCGATTATTAAAAAGGTGACATATTCTATTGTAATAATCACAAAGTGATTATTAAATTCAACATTGCCTATCAGTTTCTTCCGAGATCATACTCCGTTGATTGCCTGCCGCACGCGTGAGAACCAGGCTGCATTTACACCCAATCGAGGTGGTATAGACCACATTTTCACTCCCCGTCATATATTAGAACACAGAAATACCTTTCGTGTATCCCCCTATTTCTATCTTCCTCGATCTGCAAGCGGCTTTCGACTCAGTCGACTGCCCTAAACTCTGGCGCTGCCTCTCATTGAACGATATGTCCGAGAAGTTGATTTCAATTTTGCGATCTCTTTATACTAACAGCCGAAATAAAGTCCGAGCTAACAGAATCTTTTCGCCCAAGTTCATCACAGAAAGTGGTGTTCATCAGGGTTGCCCTCTCCCTCCGTTTCTATTTAAATTTGTTATAGATTCGATTATGGAAACAGCCTATACTCTTCCTCCCACATGGTAGACAGCATAATATGGAGTACGCAGACGAGTAGCAAACTTTTCCCGATAGCTTCAGTGTTAGTGTAGCCACAATCGGTATGCATTTTGCAACTTCAAAGTGTAAAATGCTGCCATAAGATTGTGTTGGCCCAGCCCGCAAACTCACTCTATCCACAAAAGTAGTTCAGGAAGAAGATAAACCTTGCTATTTAGGCAGTTACATGTCACCTGGCGCATGCGTCACAGATGAAGTGTCAACACGCATAAAGGAGGCTCGATTGGCATTTGCCGACTGGGAACATCTGTGGCGCCGTAGTGACACCCGGCTGTTGTGGCCTACAAATGACTGATTCGCTTGCCATTCATCACTGTGACCCAATTGATTGAATGATCGATCAACTGACTGTTTGAATGCTGGCTTGACGGCATTCGGGTGTAGTGCAACGTGTGAGCCGAAGTCGGCATGCCTGCCTGGCTTCCTTCCTACAAGTTGTCTGTTCCTACTCATTCTCCGTTTTTTGCACCGACTACATATTTTCTGTTTACAATAAGCATACTGCTTAATTCCTTGTGTGCTCATTCACTTGGAACACTGCATCGGCTACCGGTGAAGAGAAGAGTATATGCTGCATCAGATCGGTCAGTTCCGCTAAACGGCACAGAAACTTGACTATTGGGAAAACACGATAAGGATAGACTATCAATGTTTGAACACCGCTGTCTACGCAGCATTGCACGAATCTGGTAGGGAAACCGGACAAGCAATGCTGTGTTACGCGTAGAGATAAACGCGGTCGGCCACTTGAGCAAGTGGTCGACCTCCATCGATAACGTTGGTCGGGGTATATGCTACGAATGAAAGCAAACAGGTTGCCACGGCCAGCGATGTTTGTATATTTCTGTTCCAGTTTCAGTTTTCATAACCATTACCCATGCACTTTCGTGCGCCGGTTTTGGTTGCTGTCTTTTGGTTGCCCATTTGGATAAAAGAGCGAAATGAAGATTGGAATGTCGAAGCAAATTCAAGCGGAAGATGGGGAATACTTATAGAGTGGTGTTAGAAAAATAACGAGTGTATGCACGAGCGCCACTGTTTGCGACACCCAGCCATATCACTCAGTGTAGCCAACCATCGGTTACGATCATCCCGAGGTCCCCAGCCAGGGGGCCTAACGGGGCCCACGTGACCTAGTCTCCTCGTTAGGGTTTTCATACCTTCGTGCCAGGTCTTAGCTTGACCGCTGCCTATGTGATCTAGTCTCCTGGTTAGGGTTTTCATACCCTCATGCCAGGTCTTAGCTTGACCGCCCTTTGTTCTTTTTTTCAATCGCTACCAGCCTTGGCAAACATCGTTCGCCGTGGCAACCTATCTGGTGACATGCGTAACACATGTCTCAACCAGCGTAATCTATGGAGGTCGATCGCTTGCTCTGGTGGACGACCGCGACTGCCTAAAACTCTACGCCTAACCTCAGCACTGCTAGTCCGGTTACCCCACCAGACGCGTGCAATGCTACGCAGACAGCGGAGTTCAAACACCGACAATCTATTTGTATCCTGTTCTCATATTTTTATCCTATTCCTTTAGTGGCCAAGTCTCTGCACCGTAGAGCAGGACTGGCCGAATACTCAGCATACACTCGACCCTTCACAGACAGCCGGATGTCGCGACGGCGCCACAAATGTCTCACTTTGGCAAATGCCAATAGAGCCTTTTGTATGCGCGCCGACACTTCATCTGTGACGCGTCCGCCGGGTGAGATATAGCAACCTAGCAATAACGCGCCCTCGAGCAAATCATGAACTTCATTTCTTTTTATAAAGATTATTGTACTGTGATTTGTTTGACAGTCTAAAATCGTACGTGGGTGAAAATGATATAAAAAATAGTCCCTGAGTAGTAGACAGTTGCGAAAATCTAAATTATGAAGTTATTCAAAATTATAATCTACGACTTATGATCCGGATAACCGTAAGACATCAGCCGAATAAAAACGATGATCGTGAAACAGGTACGTGACTCACGAAACGGTGTACGACCCAACGCGTCTACCGAGTCCTTATCAGCGTATCCTGATCCGGTCTGAGCAAGCGAGATAGCTGAAGCATGAAGCAGAGCCCGAGTGGCTCCAAGCGACAGCTGAGTCGCGGCCAAATGCAGAGGAGTTGCGCCATCAGCCATTCGTGATCGGCAATCTAGTTGGGCTCCACGTCGGACGAGCAATTCCGCAAGCATCGGACAATCAAAGTAAGCTGCATAGTGCAATGCGGTCATATCAGTCCACCGACAACGCGCTTCAAGGTTAGCTCCATTATCTAGAAGAAATTCAGCAATCCTGAAAAGTACGGGGATAATGTTACCAAAATAACGATTGACAAGAAGTCAGTCAGATGGCAGTGAACAAAGTAGCAGCAATATCAGAAAAAATGGCAGTGCTATGGTACCAAAAACTCCGGCTAAGAGTTTAGAGAGCAAAGGCCCTTAAACATTCGATATGTGCTTTGGGCCTTCGAAATGAAAAGTGAAGCTAAACGAGTGGACGACGCATGCCTAGACCCTGATGTTTATTGATCGGAATTAGTGATAGCGCACTGCTTCCGCTACTCAGGTAGAGACGTGACCAATGACCATAGCAGAACAAAGCAGACTGTTAGCAACGAGCTCAAAAAACTCGTCAAATCAAGCACGCATCCGAGTCAGGCTACATACAAGCTCGAAACGCTCCAGACAAGCTACGCCCGATTGGGTCGATCAATCGATATGCCAAGGCCACAAGTCGACGATGGATGGAAGGTGCGATTACTAATCCGAAAGCTGGTCGTCGCCCAGATCCCTCCAACATTGCGGCCATCGATAAAATGCCTCCGCCACAAGATGTCAGTTCGTTA